ATATACTTTATCCTGTTGCCTTTAATGAAACCAACTTGCATATGTGTAATACAAGCACTATTATCTTTATGCAAGTTAGTTGGAGAATCATCATATGAAAATCCACAGGTTGTTTGAATGAATTTATCAATTAATTGCAACCAAATACATTCTCGAGATGCTTCATGTAAGGCAATAATTTCTACATGGTTGGATGAAGTTGCAGTTATTATTTGTTTCACTGATTTCCATGATATTACAGCTCCATGTCTTAAAAATACATATCATGTTTGAGATTTAGCTATTACAGTATCAGATTTATATCCTGGATCACAAAATCCAACCAATTTTGGATTTGCGGATTAAGTGTAGTATAATCTTAAGTCTTCAGTACCTTTTAAATAACGTAATAAATATTTGATGTCATTCCAATGTCGTAGTGTTGGACGTGCACTATGTCTTACAAGAATACTAACTGCAAATGTAATATCTGGTCTTGTAGATGTAGCTAAATACAAAAGTACTCAAACAGTTGCGAGGTATGGATATTGATCTTCCAATATTTCCTCCTCCTCCTTGCATGGACGGTATGGATCATGACCATCACAACCACGTCCAACCATTGGTGTGGACAATGGATAAGCATCAATCATATTAAATCTTCACAAGATTTGTCTAATATACGTTAGTTGATAAAAAAAAAATGCTACCATCTATTAGATGCATCATCTGAAGACTAATGCAGAAAGTTATTTTTTCTAGCATTTTCATCTCAAATTCAGGTATAAATAGGTTAGTAGCTGTAATACATGCAGATATAGTACCTACTAGGTTAAGATCATCAACATATATAGCGATGATCACAAAACCAATTTTATCTCATTTGATAAACAAACAAGGGATTAGTGGATTACTTATAAAATTATTTGTAATTAAATAATCTCAAAGATGTTGATACGACATGCATTCAGATTTTTTTAAACCACACAAGGTCTTATATAATTTAATATGACGATATTGTCCTAGAGCAGGTCGATTTGGAGTTCCTGTTTCTAAGCCAAGTGGAACTTTCATATAAATATTTGCATCAAGAGAACCATATAGATATGCAATTACTACATCCATCAGATGGATTTCAAGGGTGGCATGAACTGTCATTTCAATAATATATTGAAATATAATTGAATCCATGACTAAAAAATATGTGGATTCATAATCAATCCCAAATTATTGAGTAAATCCTTAAGCAACAAGACGAGCTTTATAGTGGATTATTTGGCCTTGAGCATCTCGCTTGCATATTAATACCAGTTTATATCCCACAAGACAAGATGTAAGAGTGTCTACAATTCGACGGAAGACTTTTCTCTTAAACAAAGAGGCATACTCCTCCTCAATAGCAATTTTTCATTTTGACCAATCAGAGCAATGCATTGTCTCCTCGATGGTTTGAGGTTGAGGATCGTCTTCCTCGCAAGAAAGGGCTTCAATAATCATATATACAAATGATTCATCTATCGTAATAGATGGTCTATCCCAAATATCATCTGTAGCACAATATAGAATAGATAATTCTTTACTCAACTTGTTCTTATTCCTTCCAATTCCAAGATTATTTTTTATAGGAATTGAAGGTACATTATGCATGGATATATCATCATGAATTGCTAGTCCCGCAAGATGAGTGGCAATTTCTTGAGAAATAATATCAAGATTAGTCAATTTTATAGCTTTCTTCTTACATGGTTGCTTATTTGGTCTAAGAATTCTTTTAGTTGTTGTTATTATAACTTGAGGTATTGTAGTCAATGGCACTGCAATCTAAGCAGGTGCATTTTGAATCTCATTAGTAGGAACTCTTGTAATTCTAGGTGCATCATTGAAGCCATCAGGTATTTCATGCATGATCCATTTTAGATGCAAAATCTTAGCAACTTCAGTTTCTGTCAAAGATGTCCTAAGATCGGGATTCATTGTAAATATTTTTGGTGCTTCAAATATGAGTACTTTATTTCTTTGTTGATTGGATACTCCTCCTTCAAGTGATGGGAATATATTTTCTTCAAAACGATAATTTTATAAACGTGCACGTAATAATGTGCGAATTGGTGGATCAACAATACGAATAATGCTTGATGAATCAAAACCAACATATATGCCTTCTAGTCGATGAGCTCCAATGGTACGCCGTTGAGGTTTTGGTATTGGAATCCAAGCACAGCAACCAAATACTCGCAAGTGAGATACATTTCAAACACGACTTGAAATGAGCTCATGTGATGAAACAATTTCAAGAGAAGAAGGGCAGAGGCGTATTAATGCTGCAGCATGTAAAACTGCATGACCTCACATAGATGCAGGTAAATTTGCGTGAAGGAGGAGTGGCCAGGTAATGAGTTGTATACACTTTATAAATGACTCTGCAAGTCCATTCTGAGCATGTTCATATGGAACACAATATGTTAACTCAATTCCTATTGTAGTACAATAGTCTTCAAAAGACTTTCATGCAAATTCTTTTACATTATCCATACATAATGTTTTTAGAGGATAATCAGGAAAATATGCGCAAAAACAAATAAGCATAGATATAAGATTGGCAAACACCATGTTTCGAGTTGATAATAATGAAACATGTGATTGTTTACCTGATGCATCAACAAGGACCAAAAAATAAGGAAATAGTCCTGATATTGGATTAATAGGACCACAAATATCACCATGCAATCTTTCAAGCATTGGTGGTAATTCTCATGGAAGTTTCAAAATTGAAGGCCAAGTAATCATTTTATCTTGCATGCATGCACGACATAATTCCATAGAGTCTACATCCGCATGCTTTAAATTGTGCCTAGTTATACATGGAATGACATTTCTAAATAATGTGGATCATGGATGTCCCAATCATCCATGCTAGAGAGAAACATGACTCTTTGTGATAGATGATGCAAAATTAAATATAATGGGAGGCTGAATCACAATTCGGTATAAACCATTTTCTGTAGCAAAAGCTTTTTCAACAACTCTATGGTTCTTCGTAAGAACCAAAACCTCTTTTCTATTTAAAGTGGCGGTCGAGAGGTGATAACCATTAATACGCACATTATGATAGATGATCATACTCCAAAGTGCTAAGGGTGCAAACATCGCATGTTTACATTTTATGATGGAACCCGCACGTAATTTTACCATTGCTATGCCTTCCTAGAAACAAAACACATTTGCTCCAGTCATGGTTATCATATTTTTAGTTTGCTAATTTGAAGATTTTTTAATAAAAAATTATCTATCTCGCAAGATAGTATGTGTTATTGCAGAATCAATGAGCACATCATTTGATTCATCATTAGAGGTTTTATCATTCATATAAGCCTCTAAGTCATCAACACTAGTTGAATCCATGGACGCATCCATAGTATGAACTTCACAAGCCTTAGCTCATAGTTTCTTATTTTCTTGGAAAATTTTAATAAAATATATTGAAGTATGGCACGCATGTGCTAAATGTCCAATCATTCAATACTTATAGCAAGAACGCATCTCTGATTTTTGTTTTCTATTATAATTAATAATAGAATATTTATTCTTTTCATATGGATAGAAATGGTCATGACTATGACTACCATGATACTTATGAATACATTCCCAATGTTTATATAATTTCTTCTTAGACTTTGAAATATTAAGTGCATGAGATTCTGTAACTGTAGTTCTAATAGGATGAGCTTCCGCATTATGCAAGAGTAGCTCATTTTGCTTCTCCACAAGAAGTAGATAGGACATGAGATCAGAATGACTCTGAAATTTCATGTTCCTATATTGTTGTGCAAGCACAGTAGATACAAGAGAAAATATAGAAAGAGTTTTCTCAATCATTTCTTCTTCAGAAATGCTTTGTCTACATAATCATAATTGTGAGATAATACGATACATTTCACTATTGAAAGCATTTAAATTTGGAAAATCTAAGACACATAAATGTGTCCAATTATGACGTGAACGTGGAAGAAAAATGGTCTTTTGATAATCAAACATGGATTTAAGATTCTTCCAAAGTTTTGTAGGATCTTCCATTTCCAAATATTGATGTTGTAATGCAAGTACAAAATGACGACGAAGGAAAAGAAGTACTTTCCAACAAATAGCATGAGGTATAGAAATACTTATTGTAGGAGATTCTTCAAATATAATGGCATCTGAGAGTTGTTCTGCAAATAAATTTACTTTTGCCATTTTTGTCCATAATGGATAATTATTTCCATCCATAGTCAATGGTGGAAATAAAAGAGCTTGAAAATATTGGGATGCACTGGTAATAGTTGGAACTATAGTAGAAGTAGTTGAAGATGTTGAAGCACTCATTATAAATAAAACTGTAAAGAAAATACAAGATCAAGTAGAAAATTTGAGTAAAACGTACCTTAAAATATAAAGTCAAATAAAATGATAAACTTGAATTTGAAAAACATTGAGCAAGAGTAGCAACAGGTTTGAAGAGTCAATACTAGAGCAAAAAAAAATTGTGATAGTGTGTAGAAGAGAGTCGTGGTGATAACATGTTGAGAATGTTTAGAAAGACACAAGAGTAAGTCATACACACACACAAGAGTAGTAGTAAGTTTATATACACAAAAGGGTTTTTAAGGAGAGAGAGCTTCACACATAAAAATCTATTGATTTGGTTGTGTCTTGTATACAAGAAGAGAAAAGGGGAGAGGATAAACAGTACTTCTCCACTAGACTCTAAATACTATAGCTATGGTATTTACTGTAGTCTACAGTAAATATTATGGAGAGCGCCGGCTTCATTTAATGATCTCAACATATACAATACCAATATGTTAACAGCTACAAAATGAATACGAGGTCATGTTTACAGTATGGGAGCAGTCACCCGGGTATCAACCACGAACAGGTAATTATCTGGTTATCGGCAGGTATATGTGGAGATTTATCAAGGTCTCGAGCGACGGGTATGTGTGACCTCCAGCTTCGGGCCGGAGGCGCTATTGATAAGGGTCTAGCTTGAACCGAGACCCTCTCTCTGCTTCTTCTTCTTCTTCTTCTTCTTAATTTTTCCTGATTTTGTTCATGGGCTCCAATTTCAACATAGACAGATTTTGTGTTTTCATGTGCTTCCTTGTGTACGTGGTTGCAAGCGGGGTGATTGCGCGTATTCAACTGATTAAATTCGGTTTGTTTTTGTTGTAGAGTTGCTGCGGAGCAGCACCCTTTTTCCGTTCCAAAGACTGTAATAGCCTTCCGTTTTACTCTTTCCCGACAACGGTTGAAGCACGGTTGGGCAGATCAGCCTAGAGCGGTAACTTGCAAGCTCCTTGGTATTGCGGTTGTTGGCGATGCCGTTGGTGTCAAAAGAATTCATTTCTCTTTTTTTCCTAACCCTGGACTGTGTTGAGGAGCTCCACCTGGTTGCAGCGTTGACTTTATGCATGGACCGACTTTCTCCAACATTTTTTCCTTCCTCGTTGAAGAGCTGCATTGCAGCATTGTTCTAATTTTTTTGCGGTTTAATCTGCCTTCTTTCGGATGAGATGTTCTTGAATCCGTGAATCTGTCTCTCTTGTTCCAATGCGCCTTGTGGTTGGGTGGAGTTGAGATACTCAGTCGGAAGTCCGCACCCTTCCGTGATTCTTCTTTCCCTGGACCTTTGGTTGTGATAGCTTCCGGTGAGAGGATTGGTTTCAAAATCCTAGAGGAAGTTCGCGGAGGCAATTTCAAGCGTAGGCAGTCACTGGCCAAAGGTTGAAGTTGGCTCCAGCAAGCTCGGCGGTTGCCAAATGTGGGCATAGCATTTTCACAGCAGATACAGGTTTTTTTGGAAGTGCTCGATGGAGGTTGGTGCCGCTCTTTAATGTTGCAAGCCTGAAGGCTTAAGTTGGCAAGGATGAGCTCTAGGTAGCGGTGCTAGCAATGCCGACTAATTTTTTTGTCTTGCTTCTCTTTTTGGTGCCACTCGACGTTACTGCAGCATCACGATCCACTCTATGTTTACAACTCCATTGTTGCCATTAATAAAATTTCCAAGCACATGAATCGTAGAAGCTTTTAAACTTTTGTTATCATCGTGTAAGTAGTGCTTGTGAGGTGCATGTAGGCTACAGATGTTGGTGTGCTAGATCACCCTGCGGGGCCACACCAGGAGGGCTCTGAGTTTAGAGATTACACATTATCTGCGTCTAAAAGTAGTAGTAATATTGATTTTTTACTACTGTTACTCAAATTGTAATACTGATCGATATCCGTGCTGTTGTTTGGAGTTTTGAGGCTACGACCTCGATCAGTTCATTCGTACTGTGGAGCAAGCGTTGTATCCCTTCCTCTCTAGGTCAGCTTTGAAGAACTTAAGAGTGAAGGTAGCAGCAACAAGCATGGAGGGCAGAGTGCGTCCTCAGCATCCTTTAAATGTAGGCCAAAAGTCAAGGCAAGGACGAAGTTCAGAAATAGGAAAGACTATCAATTTGTTACTATTGAAATATAGACTAAACAAAAATTAATGGTACAATTTAAATCTCTTGATTTGGATTTGGCTAAGTTGAATGAAAATTCATTTGTAGATGAGAATTTTCTTGGATGAAAAATTATCTACAGATGAAATTTTGCCTTGGATAAAAACTTAATGTTCGGTGAAAATTAATACTAGAAATAGTTAAAAAGTAAAAATATATTAAAATAAGATAAAATCATATAAAAAAATTTAGTGTATGAAGGAAAATTTAGTGTGTGAAGGGAAATTTCACCTCTCAATTCAAATTACAAGATGACCTCAATTAAGAGGTACTTATATTTCATGGTGTGAAAAAAAGAAGGCAAATAGCAAGAACAAAATGAGAACAAATACAAAACAATTGAAATAAATGAAATCAAGTAATTATACAATTCAAAACTTGGTTACAATATGTTTATTAAATTTTTATCCAATAAAAAATAAAAAGTAAAAAAAAAAAAACATTTTTAAAAAGATAATTTTAAAATTTTGCAATAATATAAGAAATATATATCCAAGTTATTATGAATAAGTTATAAAAGTTTAAAAATGACATAGAAATAAATAAAAAAATTAAGTGAAAATATTTTACCTCAAAAGATAACTTGTTCATAGATCAAGGATTTGAGCCTCACCAAGGTTTATGTGTACTATATATGAGTATCTAAGACAGGCTACAAGGCCTTAGTCTTATCTTCTTAACTACATTCAAGGTGCTACAATCCATATTAGACTTGTGCTCCTCCCTTCTTATAAAGACTGTACTCGTTGTTGGTCCTCTTATTTTCTACTAGTAGATCCAACATTTTTACATTTTTGAGTTTACTATGGTCTTTAAAAACATCCAATTAGGCTAAGAACGTTACATGGTTTTCAAATCTTGCTCTATTTCTTCAGAATGACTCCCAAAGTAGTAAAATTTATTTTTACCAAAATCTTAAAAATTGTTTTAAAAATTCTAAATAAATTCTAAATAAATTATAAATAAATTCTTATGATAGTTTTATAATACTAATATCAATTTAAGACTATAATTTTCTATCTTTTTTATTATTTATAATAATAAAATTAATTTAAATCCATTATAAATCTTACTTTTTATATGAACATTTAAAAAGATATGAGTTTTTTTTCATATTTTTTTTTAACTACTAACTAATATTTATAATTTTTTATAAATAATACATATAGATAGAAAGCCAATGTAAATATTTATCTTAATAAATAATCTTTAATATTTAATAATGAATAAAAATACTAAATCAACTAAGATAATTGCTTTCAAAACTTATTAAGATACTATTTCTATAATTAATTTTCTAATTTTTTATTTGTCTAAGAATTTATACACTACTCAACATATATTGTGATTTTGAGCACTCTAAATGCATCTTATTGTCTTAAAACAATTAGTGAGTTGATTTCATGACTCACAAAGAATATATTTTTGAGTTATTAAATGATTATATTATGGTATAATGAATGTAAACGTATGCCATTTAATAAGTTAGAAGTTTAAGGATTTTTAGTAAGAAGTAAGTAAAACAACTATATAATTAATTCATAACTTAATAAATAATTAAGAATTAGAACAAATCACATATTAGAGTGGTTTATTTTAATTCACAATTAGAATATAATAGGACTTTTTGGACACTTAATCAAATGCTAATAGAAACTCATTATAAATTTTTAGATAATTAAAATCTTGTGAACTAGGATAGACTTTCAATTAGTAGGGCTTTATTTTAGTTTACATCCTTTACAATAAAAAGCTATATTACATAAATTTTGAGAGTATATTCAAGCAAGAAAATTTAAAATTATGCTACCTTATTTATGTATAAGTTAATACTTAGTCCTAAAAAATAGAATCTCTAAAAAGTATTTACATGAAAAAAAATATTTTTGTACAACCTATATCTTATATTATTTTAATATTAAAAAGATTACATATCTATATAATTTTAATTTAATATAATAATTTTATTTTTAGATTTGAGATATAGATTTTTTTCTTAACTAAGAAATTTAAATGTTATAACTACTACTTGAGTTTGGATATGAACAAATACTTTAAAAGAAATTTCAAATATAAGTTAATCTTTCTTAAATAGTAGAATAAAATATAGATGCCAAAAAAAATGATTGGATCTAGATCCAATATGATCATTTTATGGAAATTTTAAGTACCATAATTTGATATGATTATATATAATATTCTAAAAAAATAATAAAAAATAATAAAAAAATTATGCAATTTTTTTAGTTTTTTTGTATCTATTATGGCTTGAAAATGTGCTGAGCATTTGATTGAAAACCTTGTTTATTTAAAGATTAAAATTCTACTATAATATAAAAAAGAATGAAATATTTAGAAACATTTTCTTTAATATCCTTGATTCTTTTATAAATCTTCAATCTAAGCAATCTTAAATCTAAGCCATACTAGTCTAAGAAATTCCAAACCTAAGCAATCCTAAACTCTATTAATTATTAATTTTAATTTCTAAAAGTTCTAAAGGTTCTAAACAATCTAAAAAGTCCAAAATAAATCATATTAAATCCTATCAAATAATAATAAATATTATAAATACTAAAATTTCTAATAAAATCTTTAAAAAATTAAACATTATTTTAATAAAGTTCTAAAATTTTCTAAATAAATCCTAAATACCTAGCATTAAACTTCAATGATCTGTAATTTTTAGTTTTATTATTGAATTAACCTTAATTTTTTAATTTGTGAAATATGCTAGTTTTAATTAAATTTATAAATTTTATAAAATATATAAGTAACTCATTAAAACAAATGACAAAAGAATATTCTAGATACTGGACAACATCCTTCTTTAATTTTGATGCTGATCTTTTAGCAATAAAATCTCTTCTCTCTACTATGAATTTGTACTTAAAATTAGTATTCATATTGAAATTTAAGTTGTCTAATATTACAATAATTTGTAGCTCAATTCGAAAAATATATCTATACATAAAAATAATACCATTGTTGATCTTTAAACTACCAAATATAATTATTATATAATATTTAAATTTAAATAGATTTTTATCTAACCAGAAAAATAAGCTAAATGTTTGACACACACTTAGTATATACATATATATACATATCCACTAATGTATAAAAGATAAATTATGGATTTAGTATAAATTTTACAAAATGGCTAAAGATACCCACTTTAATTATATTATTCAAAACATGATTGTAAAAACCAAAATCCTAATTTTGATTAGCTCATAAAAATTCATTTCAAACTCAATCTAAAACTTGCTTAAAGTCTTCTTTCAAATACTACTTTTTGATCCCTATAAATCTCTTTTTTTATACTTTGGAATCTAATTTTAACTATGTCTTATAAATGGTTCTCCATAGACAATAATCTAAACTTTTTTATAGTAATCTTTGTAGAAATCGACTCTTTACTTTAAACTATAAGTTATACCACATTTTATTATAAAAAAAATGAAATTTCTAGGTAGACACTTTTATATTGCATATCCTTGCACATACATAATAATATCATTATCATGTCATTATTTTATTTTATCAAGTGACATAATTTTATACATAATTATAATAAAAAATATTTTAACATTAAAAAATATACATTTAATATTATAAAGTTATTTTTTTATTATACATAATTTTCTAAAATTAAAATTAAATATAAATTATAAAAAATAAATTACAAGTAAAAATAATCTAATTTAAAATTTGAAAGGCTCAATAACTAATTTTTACAAAATAATTTAATAAAAATAATATATATATATATATATATATATATATATATATATAATTCAATATATTCTTTGACTACCATGAAATATCAAGAATATCTCTTTATTTTTTATAATTTCAAATATATTTTTTACATTATATATTAATAGATATTACTACTAGTTCTACTCAATGATCATATTAATGAGTACTACTAATGCTCAAATTTATGATCAAATATCATCTTTTGTTTCGTGCTAGCTCTTTGTGTATAATTATGGATATGGTTGTATATTTGTATTGGAATTATTGATTGATAATTTTATAGAATAGTATAACATGGCTAAAATGTAAGGATTTGAAAGAGAGGGATATAAACCTAATCCAAAAAATAGGTGAAGCCAAGGCTAGTAGATGATAAAGATAGATGATAGCATTGGTACTTTACATCAAAGTCATTGTCAATCATTTATCAATAAAATCATAACAACAAATTATTGATGTATACAAATCACGTAAACTTTTATCTTAAAAGTAATATGTTAGATTCTTAAAATCATGATTTTAGCATTTGAATAGACAATAATGTTTTTAAGCCTAAGGCTCTCATGTCATAGTTGTGCAACAAAGATATAAGTTGAATTAAGATAATTAAAAATTAAATACTAAAATTAATAAATTTTTATTACTTTTATATTAAAAATTAAATTTAAATATCTATATGTTAGTGATTTAGTGAAAATTATGTGATAGTCATTCATAACTAGATTTTATTGACAAATAGATATGTACTAGTATAAGTGTACAATCTTTGGATTCAAAATGACCAAGTTTCTTACTTTGGATGATGTTGTCACAAGTAATAATGTATTAAAAGAAGCTATTTGTTATGATGCAATCAACAACTATTACAAAAAGAAAATTATTGAGTCCAATCAAATAAGATACAATTTGAAGTGTTCCACTAATACTTGTAAATGGAGATTGAATACTTCATAATCTTAATTAACAAATACAAGTAAATTTATTATTTAAACATTTATCTTTGAATACATATTTATTAGTAAAAAATACTTAGAAAATTGATATACTAGTGGCAATTGGATAGGAGATAATATGAGAAAAAAAATGAGATAACTTGCTATAGAAAAGAAATATAGATATCCAAGAAGATATTCTATATAATGAAGGCATTATGGTGTCCTACTTAATATCATAGTATAGAAGAAAATAAGTTATTTTTGACCTAATTGACTCCTATAAAGACAACTACATCAATTTCAAAGCATATTATTACCAAATAAAATAAAAAAATCTTGAGAGCTTTGTAAAATGATAAATTGATAAACAAAATCCTTTTTTTTTTGTCTATAATGTACATTTACATAGCTTGCAATATTCTTGACTTATCTTTGGCATAGATTGCATATATTTAAAAGAATAATAAAATAAAATACTCCTTAATGTTACAACAATTAATGTGGAGGAACAAATATTTTTTATTATATCTAATATTGTGAATTCTAAAAATAATAATAACTAGTTGTGATTCTTAGAATAATTAAAAACAATAGTTCTTGCATCTTATCTATTAAATTGTAAACTTCTAAAATTCATATTTTTTATCTTATTGCTAAAAATATCTCATTGGTATTGTCAATCATGCATTTCTATCATGTAAATATGTATTTTATATGCATTATTTAGTTGAACATTTATAGTAATAAATCAAAAGTTCAATGCTTGTATGACATCTTGAGATAGTAAGATAGACATCAATTGTTGCAAATTTCAACATTGAATTTTGAAAGAATTGGCTTATATCTATAAAAGCTCTACAATACTTAATAAAGAGTAGAATACAATATTAGATATTATTACGGTTTGACAAAAACTAATTTAGCCACATGACTTCAAATATTGTAATATCTCTTAATTATTAGATCTTAAAAGTACATGGAATGTTATTAATTCTAGTACTAGAAACAATTTGGCAATGGCTCATAGCATGGTGTAATGCCTGACTTACCATTGCAAACATAATTACTAGACCATTATCAATAAATGCAAAACAAAGAACAAACAATCACATGTATTTATAAAACCAGATATGCACTTACAATTGATGGTAGCTATCTAGAATCCCATATATGCATGCAATTAGTTTTTTTTTTAATGCAATAATAAATTATCAAATATATTATTTATTTTCATATTATTGAAGTCCAACAAGCAATTTATGTAGCAACCATCACGTCAATTCCATCTATTGAGTATTGGACTAAATGAAATGACATAAAATTGTTGTTGCTTTGATCTTACTACCCTTGACACAATGTGTACTTAATCCCCTAAAAAAGTATTGCATCCATATGGAGGATATAAAAAAAATTAAACAAATATTTAGATGCAATTAATACAAGAATATTAGACATAATTGCTTAACATGTAAGAAACCAATTTGATTCTATTGTTGAAGTATCATTGTTACAAATGTATATTTATCCCAATAATTACTTAGATAATAAGAGTAGATAGAAATAAATAAAAATAAATAAATTTGATATTATCTTATAAAAAACTTTTTAAAAGCTTTATAAATGCATCTTTGCCTTTATATATGTCTATATGTGATTAATAGGTTGAAGACTTGACCAAAAAGTTGGCTATGTATTATATATATTGACCACTTATAGTACAAGTTGGACTTGTGTCATACATATAGGAAGCTTATTTTGCAAATTAGACATGTGTTTTGGAAGTTTGATATATGGTTGAGATCCTATAAAATATTGCCACAAAATTCCTAGTTAGATAGTATATATAGAAGCAAGAATGAATCCTTCTTTACTTTTGTCAATTCATTTTTTACTTCTAGACTAGTTTTACGAATTTTAAGTTTCTTAGTCTTTAGCAAAAAGCCATTCCAATTTCTTTTTGAATGTACATTTTTTATTTATTTATTTATTTATTTTTTATCATCTTTCTTTAAAAAAATTTCACTTTTTTATTTACATTATTCAAGTTCTTAACCTTGTTAGCTGCTAATGTGATGTCAATGAGACTATTGCTAAAACTCAATGTGGTATAATTAAATTTATTTACTTTAAATGGATGTGTATGTGGATTCAAATGAAATTGAATGCATATCTATATAGAGCAAAGCAAATATCCTTGTGTAGATGACTTAGAGAGTTGTAAAAATTGTGAACAAAAAAACCAACTTTGGATCCATTCCATCAATAGCAATATGTCATGGACATATATATTTGCCCTAATAATTACTTAAATAATATGAGTAGGTAGAAGTATATTAAAGGAGACAAATTTGATAATAACTTGTATAGAAGCTTTTTAGAAGCTTCATAGACCTGACTTTGGTTTTATACATGTCTATATGTAATTGATAGATTGAAAACTAGGTCAACAAGTTGACCACATATCACACATATTGGTGACTTATAATAAAAGTTAGACATGTGACACACATATAAGAAACTTTTTTTGCAAGTTAGATATATATTATGCAAGTTGGACACGTGTCGGAGGTCTTATAAAGCATCACTATGTAGCTCCTAATTAGATAGTATATATAAAGATAAGATTGAAATCTTCTTCACTCTTGTCAATTCCTTTTTTGCTTCTAGTTTAGTTTCAAGAGTCTTTAGATTTCTAATCTTTGGCAATAGTTGTTCCAATTTCTGCTTTAATGTATTTACTTTCTTGTTTGTTTGTTTGTTTATTTTTTTTTTTTTTATTTATTTATTTTTTCCATCTCTCTTTGATACATATTTCACTTGTTTACATAAGTTCTTTGAGTTTTATCCCTCACATAATGCCACCATACAAAGACTACAAACATGCAAACAAGCAAAAGAACTAATACTATTAATCATTCATAAAGCTTTTTCATTACCAATCTCTATGACTGTTCAAATTTGATACTAGCTTTGATTTTTTTTTCTAATACAAATAGTGAATATTAGAAATAAGTCTTCAGTGAGTTAGAATATGAACTTATTGGATCATGTTTGAATATGCACTAGGTGCCATAAGTATACTAGGCATTTCATATTGGCAACTATAGAGGTTGCTATTAGCATGATTATATATACTAATTCTATTGCTATTGGTAAATCCATTCTCTTTATCTACAAAAAAAAGAATCACTAAAAATATTCAAGCATGTTTCAACATAAGCTCATTTGGTACCAACTTTTGTGCAAACATGTGATGAAATCTATATTTATGCAAATCATCAATCTAGAGTTGGCACGACATGGAAGATGATATTTGATCATAAATTTGAGCTTTGGTGGTACTTGTTAGCATGATCATTGAGTGAAGTTGCTAGTGATACCCATTCATGTACAATGTAAGGGATACATTTGAAATTATCAAAAATGAAGGAACATTCTTGATATTTCAGGATACTTAAGGAGTACATTTAAATAATTTCCTATAAATAAATGCATAGCATAAATGTGCCCATGCAACAAAAGAGGGATATCTAACTAACTGTTCCCAAAACAACATAAAAAACACAAACATTGTGAGGTTTTCAGCTGGGTCTGGCGCCCCTATCACCACAACCATGTGCAAAACCGTGGGCAGGGCTGATGAAGACGTGGAACTCTGCAACGCAACCGTGGGATCCGAAACCGACCCGTCAATTCCACGTCATCAAAAATGCTGGTGACCGGACTCCCGCCCTGTCTGGTTTTGCAACCCCCGTTTTTCTGTGTCGATCGAAGGTTTGTTTCTTGTGGTTTTGCACGCAAATTTGTGGCATTTGGAATAGTGATGTGGTAATTGGTTGGTGGTGCTGATCTCGTTTACGTTCGAAGCTAAACCGTTGACAAGACATTGAAGTCATTTGAGGTCATGGGAGGGAATAGCTAATGAGGAGATAGCGCTTAGGGTGGTGTTTTAGTTTGCGAAGGGATTGTTTTCAAGGGATCCGGACCAATGGCGCCCGTGATGCAGAGCACGCAGCAATGGGTGGAGAAATAGTATGTTTTCGAATTGAGTTTGAGTTTGTTTCGGTTGGACATTGACTGGTGTTTTGGGCGGGTTTTATCATTGGATTGCCCCATGATTCTGGTGGGGAGCTTTTATTGATTTTCGATCCCTCATTTTTATCAGCTCATAAACAATGTGACTTGAAATAACGATAAAATGTTGTTACGCTTGCTCAGTCGGCCCCGGAAGGTGAAGGATGTCGCCCATCAGGAGGAGGTCGTCCGCACTCTCACCAACACACTCGAAACGGGAAATGTAAGTATCTGGAAGGAATTGGTGAATCATTTTTTCTGTGTTTCATTTTTATTTTGTTGACTGTATTAGGAGAACAGGTTATCATGGAAAAGATGAATGTTGGTTGCAGTTGCCGCACCTCCTATTTTATGGACCTCCAGGCACAGGGAAGACCACAACAGCACTTGCGATCTGCCACCAGCTTTTTGGGTAAGTCATTTCTTTGGTGTAGCATGAAAGTTCCTTTTGTGTCCCTTGCTCTTGTATCAAGGCGTTAGGGTTTAGGGTTTTATGCTTTTTGATAATGTACCTTGGTTGTTCATGTCTTGTTCAAGAAGTTTTATTTTAGGAATGGAAATGATTTTTGGTATATTAGTTCACGGTTGAGAATGTTCTTCGCTTTTCTTTGTATTGGGAACAGGCCAGAGCTTTATAAAACAAGAGTGCTGGAGCTTAACGCTAGTGATGACCGTGGAATCAATGTGGTCCGGACGAAGATCAAGGATTTCGCTGGTGTTGCCGTTGGTGCCGGTGTGAGGTATTCATCTCAACACTACAGTTATGTACAAATGGTTGCATCTCATTTTTATGTCATGAGCGTAGTCGAAGGACTCTCTACAAATTCCAAATTTGGCAAGGCCAAGACTTAACAACCTTTCCAGAAGCATAGTTTGGAATCGAAGTTGCATAGCGCAAAGAAGCCAAATTCCTTTGACACTAACACCATTTTGCTTGTGTGGTGAATATGTTAATGATGAAATCTGCAATATAAACGCGAATAAATGACACAAACTGGCATTTTTGTTTTGCAGCGGTTATCCGTGTCCTCCTTTCAAAGTTCTTATACTGGACGAAGCCGACTCAATGACTGAAGATGCACAGGTAATCGTTTGCGAGGCCTTTATGGATCAAAAGTTATTGAGCTGGTGTTAGTATCAGTTATCATCCATTGGTTGAAGGCTGATTTGGTATTCAGTTTATTATTGCCACAACATACACACAGATCTCTCTCTCTCTCTCTCTCTCTCTATATATATATATATATATATATATATATATATATATATTCATTACTTCACCTTTTACTAACAAACTATTGGGTTGTGTTCGAATAGAATGCTCTGCGGCGCACAATGGAAAATTACTCAAAAGTCACTCGTTTTTGTTTTATCTGCAATTACGTTAGTCGGTGAGAGTTCTTTCAAATCAAATGTCTACTTTTGTGAAATTTTCACAATTTTTTTCTCTGACAAAGTCGAGCGTCTCTGTAGATGTGGTTTTGTTATCTGTACAGAAGAAGTTTCTAGAATTATTTTCTTGGAATAGTGACTTCTTGCAAGTTTCAGTATTATTTGCCGGGAATAAGTTCTTATCTGTATATTGGGGTTCCAGAATCATTGAGCCATTGGCATCACGGTGCGCTAAATTCCGTTTCAAACCACTTCTAGAAAATGTCATGCAAAACCGTATCCAGTACATTTGTCAAGAGGAAGGTTTGAAGCTAGATCAGGAGGTGTGTGTTTCAACCTTGAACCACTTTCGTGCTTGATTCAAAGATACTTGTTTTTTTTCCTTCGTGGCAAGAAGCAACTTACGAAGTTGATGTTTTTGTTACCTGCGTGGGTGTGTAGGCTTTATCTACTTTAAGCAGAGTCTCTGAAGGTGATTTGCGGCGGGCTATCACGTGCCTTCAGTGTGCCGTTCGTCTGTATGGTTCCAATATTTCTAGCAAAGAGATTATCAGTGTCTCTGGGGTATTGCTCTGACCATCACAGTCGACCGTTCTGTTCAGTGTTGTATTCCTCTGTTCAACACTGAAGGTTTGCAGCCTCGGGTAGTTGAGCTGTATGCCCCCAGATACAATCTGGTTGTGGAGGACGAATATTATCAAGTATCGTTAGTTGTCAAGTTATTTTGGTTTTGTAAGAAACTCACACGGGTGAATGGGTATAGTCGTATCTATAGGCGAAGTTACCTCTTTGCATCTTTTGAGGTGTAAGGAATTCACACAATCTTGGTTCTGTATGTATTGCATGAACTACGTGCCAGATTTTATTATAATCATTGCTTGAGGTAGCGATTTGGCATGTTGAAGTGTCGACTCGATTCTTGGTTTCTAATGACTGGTCATATTCTAATTTATACACTTTGAAGGACTAACTGGGCATCGTCCGTCCATCTTGTAGATCGTGCCTGATAGTGTCCTCGAAGGACTTCTGAAAGCTTGCCAAAGCGGGCAATTTGATTTGGCGCACCAAGAGGTTAGAGATATTATTGCGGAAGGCCACCCTGTATCTCAAATTCTTTCTCAGGTACTTCTCAGATTATTCTTTTTAGTCTTATTGTGCTCATCCTTGTCAGTATTTCATATGTTTTGTGTTGTAGCGTTTAGGAGGTCAATTAGTTCCGTTTAAGTTTTCCTCAGGATGCACATCTGAGAAAGTAAAGTGTGACTTTGGTTTCGTGCATTTAAATGGTTTTAGATGCCTTAAATCAAATCTGATACTAGCATTGATATGTTCTGCAGCTATTCGATTTTGTTGTACAATCTCCAAATATTAGCGACATTCAAAAAGCTAGAATCACAGAGAGGCTTGCTGAAACTGACAAGGTAATCCCTTGTCCTCTTGCTCAACTAGTGTCAAACTTCACTCTGTTCCAATTTTCTGTATTAATGTTTTTTTTTTATCTTCTGTTAAATTTACGCTTTACTAAATGAATTCGTCTGAATGTACTCTGACATTGATTCATCTAGTCGAATTTTGTTGTCTTTTGGAATCTGCCAATCTTACAATCTCGTGTTGATATATCAGTGTCTCATTGACGGGGCAGACGAATACCTTCAGCTAATGGATGTTGCTAGCAACACCATGCGTGCCTTGTGTAATCAAACCCAGGAGTGCACTTATTAGGTTCAAGATACTCCGGTGGTACCACTGTGTTCCAGTTTTAAGTATCTTCATAGAAACTTAGGAAAAGTTTCTGCACCCGAATCTGTATTACGACGTTTTTATCATGCTTCGAGCTTGATTTTAATGCGTGGATAGCTTATTCTTGGACAGGCATGGTCTTAAAGTTCTGCGACTGAGCACATTATATTTTCATTTGTCTGGCAGATCACAGTAGAAGCTGTAAGGTTCACACAAAGACATTGTCCTTACGCAGGCTCTTAGTCCATGTGGTTTTGATGTATCATTTCATAAGCGACTTTCAGTTCTGTGATTCCTTAAGTTCTTGAAACGTGTGTGACAGAAACAGAGGAAAGTACATGTTTTTCACAACGATGCACATTCGATATACTCATTCAGTCTTTGCTCGTTTGATATGTGTACGGAACATCTTCGTGAAATCAGTGAACTGAGAAACTGATTACAATCAACAGTTCCGTCGTAAGGAAGTATCAATCAACCAAACTGAAGAATTCTTTCACGAACGTTGAACAGAGCTTGTGGTTACAGATGAAAATGTATCTCTGTAGACTCAATATTTACAAGAGCAGTGACGAGAAAAAATCTATTGTATACCCTCCCATAACACACTTCTAGTAGAACTACGCACAGCAATTCAATCCTACAATGAAATGCTACAAAATGATCAGAGACATAACTGTGACATAATGAGTGAGGCGTACACAATTGATACGGCGTCAAAAAAAGAAAAAAAGAAAAGAAAAAAAAAAAGAGAGGACGTATCATTTCACTAAAAACCTAAATCTAACAGCAAGTACTTCAAATTCCCGACGCATGGACCTCACGAACCGTGACAATTCATTGTTCTTGTTCAGCGTTTCAACAAAACTCGCCGATGCTCCCACCCAGGGGTTACAATCAACCACTGCAGCACATATTACATCAATAAGAAACATAGTTTACCAAGCCCGACAAGCTACAAACCTTTTATTATTGTTCCCGACTTCTGCAGATTCTCACACATAGTGCTCGATTTGTATTTGTCAAACCCAAAAATGACCCTCCAAAAAGATGTGAAGAAGCACACGAGAAGCAGTGAGAGGGTAAAGAAATGATTTAGACGCAGGAGAAAAACTAACATTAGCAAGAGTCACTTACTCGTCCAAGAGCCTGTACTTTTGTGCAAGCGGATGGAGAAACTGAACACTCGATCAGGGTCACGGGGATCCACATTGGTGAAGATGAACTTTACAGCTGCCATCAAACCCAGTCTAACTTCAGATTCATTTGCGCGAAAAAACAAAAAAAACAAAGAAATAAAATAAAATAAGATGACATTTATTTGATATGTAATAAAGCGAAAGATACGAATTTCCATGAACATCACTCAGACAACGGAATCCACAGATCCTAACGTTGATATCTAACTTAAACTTTTGTGCATACCATCCGAGTACTCGCAACGCAAACTCAGTAGTCGTTTGTACCATCCAGTAGCTTCATGCAATGCCTTCACTTTTTGCTTCCTGAGACTCAGCTTATCTGTGATATCTGCGAGCATTAACTCAACTCCAAACTCTCAGCCAGTTTATGGGTGGTCCCTTCACACCAACGTTCATTGTATACAGTGGAACAAGATAACGTGAGATGGAGACAAGAAGTTTTAAGATTCTAAGTGCTTACTAAACGGGCAATTTTTGAAGGTTCTTCTGGAAAATCTTACCTGACAAAGACTTGGAAATAAGTGCTTCTCGATCCGCTTTCAGCTGAAACAACTTAGTTGTATGCTCATGAAGGTCTTCTAGAGTCCTGTATATCTCATTAGTTTGTTGCTCGCACTTGATGATCTCTTCTTGCTGCGCGTCCCTTACTGCATCCCAGTCACAAGATTATTCACCATTTTAAAGTACTCCAACTCAAATTATCAAGACTACAGCACAATGTAAATATCCATTACTCGAGCCTGTTTCTACGAAAACAACAAACCAACATTTCATCCCGTGTAAGAAAGCGAAATCCTATCGAATTAATACTAAGAAAATATGGCACTCTTCAAAACAACAACATCGGAGGCTTACAGTACCTTTTCTGATGAAATGATCTTCGGCATCCAAGTTCGTTAAACGGCCCATCACCTCCTTCACGTCCTCTACAACAAAATATCACCACATATACACCTCTTTAAAACAATCTCAGCATGATGATGAGAGCGAAATTTATGTAAGATCATGTACACACAGCATTACTCCCAGATAAATAAGCGTTGCTCTTCCTTGAATCCCAGAACTCTAATCCAGATTGCCGACATGCCTTCACCATTCCCAATTGCAAAGACCTACTACACTACCGAGAATCGGTTCACAATATTAAAAACTAAAAAGAACCTCGTGCAGACGCCAAAAACTGGATGAGTTCTCGAGGTGACCTAACCTTGCGCAGAAGCCCGAATAAAAGCTGTAGTCGCAGTAGAGTCACGTAACACATTTTCAACCTGAGAGCTCCAAACATCCATGCGCTTAACAAGCTCTCCAAGATCCTTTCCAAACTGAACTCCAGTAAGTGAGGCGCCACTTCCACAACTGGTCTCGTTAGTGGAGCGCTCCATCGCTCACAGCCAAATGCGTAGTTCCTCGTTTTCCCGTCCAATTCAAACCAGAGCAACTAACCTACCATGGAGGAAAATTCCGAAAAACCATCAGAAAAGAATAAAGAGTACACAGGGGATTGGCCATGCATTCCTGTTGGTGCCAGACACAATGGACGATTAAGAATTGGGACACAAGCGACGGCAATTCGCAGGAGCGAGCAAAGCACGATGAGATTCGAATTCAAAGTGGAGAGACGAAGCATACTTAATCTATATATATATATATATACATCTTTTTAAGTGTGAGATAGCTTAGTTCTATATCCTTAAAGTTTGCAAACATTTCTAAAACATGTGTAGTATGGTTTCTTATATATATACAAGTATCTATATTTGAAATATATTTTTGCCTTAACTCCTATATAATATAATAGGACTTGTCTTAACTCCTATATAATAGGATTTGTCTTAACTCCTATGAATATGTTAACCTCTATATTCAAATACCATCTCAAAGAGAAAATTATTTTTTGATTTGTAGAATCCAATTTAATCATAGAATTTGTGGACGTGAAATTTTATTGCTTATTATATTATGCAACTTTTAAAAAAATATAAGTAAAGATTTATTGAAAATAAATATCTTATAGTTTAATTTTATAGATATTTTACATCTCTCTTAGAAATGAGATAATTTGAATCTTTAAAAAAGTTTTTGATTCTTTGTAATCTATATAAATATAGAATATCAACTCATCCAAATTAACATGTCTATATGTGAGAAGAAAATCTAGATTTCCATAAAGGAACCTATTTTATACTTCATAAAAATATTTAAATTAATATAAGCAAATAAATAATTTCAAAGAAGTACAAAATTTTCTAATTTTATTCCAATTTTCTTAGCATATTATTAATTTATGGTTATGTATTAAAGTCCATACATAATCAAGTTTCTAATTACCTTTGGCTTTTGATTTAGCATACATCATTTTATATCTAATTTTTCTTTTAATATTTGAATTTCTTAAGTATAGAGCCTTAAAAACTCATTTGGCTAAGAAAGTTCTTATAGCTTTTATGAAATTAATAATTTCTAATTCTCTTTTTTTCTTAGATTTGGAAAAGAATTCACTATGAGATTTTGGATCTTGATGATTATTGTATATTTCTCTATAAAAAATTCCTTATTAATATTTTAAGTTGACATATACAATTTTTAAAAATTATCCATATAATATAAAAAGAAGAATGATACTTTTAACTAAAGATGATTCTTCTTACTATATTAAATTCTATTATGTGATATCTACAAAGATTTATTTTATTCTATAAATTAAAAATTAATAAATGACTTAGATTTGTAAGAACAACCTACACAAAGTACTAACAAGTTTATTAAAAATTTTAGAAGAAGTCTAGATCCAACCAAATTCATTGGTCTATTATGGTTTTATTGTTCTCTTGTATTGCTAATATGGTGCAAATTTAGACCAATGGATTTCAAGTCCAAATGCTAGGTTAAATTATTTAAGGAGGAATGCCATTGTAAGTGTACTATTTTCTTATTTTTTGTAGTATTAGTGTGGATTTGTATGTATATTGACTTATAATTTGTTTCTCCAAGTTCTATAAACAATCAATAGCATTAAGTCTTTTAGTTTTGATACCACCTTAAATAGTAATATTAAGCATTTTTTAAATCAAAATAATGGAATAATATGCTAAAGAAGTAATTCTTTTAAAACTGGTTTTAGAAAGAAAAAGAATTGTTTAGATGTATTTGCCTAGTCAGTTGTATCTTAGATAGCCAAAACATCATCTACTGTCAAGTGCATAGATAATTTTTTTTTTTTTTGTTTGTTTGCAGAAAAACATTTATAGATGTTTTAACTATGAAAATATGACTTATTCTAATATAATTCTAATCCATATGTATTGTACTTTAATGGTGTACTTTAGTGGTATACTCTAAGCCAAAGCTCATAAGCCAAAGCTCATAAGCTCCTAAGCATTCTTAGTTGTAGTTTTGTAAATATTTATAATCTTTCTTATTGAAATGTCACAATTGTGTCATTGGTAACTTTTTCTATTTTTCTATTTTTCTTTCTTTTTTACATTGCTTCCAAAAAATAAAATATCCAATGTTTATACCTCTCCATATCATAGTTACATATTATGGAATAATTGTGAACGAAAAACTCATTCAAAGTTGGAAAAATAAAATAAAATAAACTAAACTAAACTGGCACAATGAGAACAGAGGGAACAAGTTTGGAAACATGTGCAGAAACCCTACTCGTCCATCCCATCCCAAACGCTCTCGGTAGACAGTAAAACATCGATTCCGGATTGCAGAATTCCAAACCGCATGGTTGGCAATCCGTCTTGAGGGATAGTGTGCCGATTATCTGCTCCAAAATCACTTGGATTTCAGCTTACCTGCTCGATTCCATCATCTCATTTTCACGAGAGATGAGGCGAGCTGACGTCGATTATGGTAGTGATGGAAGTGGAGCGAGCGAGCTCTCTGACGATGATTCTTATGACTATGGAGGCGTGGACGATACTCGGCTACGTTTTCGGTAAGTAAATTGTATGATCCTCCGTTGATTTCTATCCGGTCGTTCGTTTTGATCGAAGGGACATGTGTGTGGTTGCTTCCAGTGGCTAGGTTGTCGTTTGATGAGGATATAAACAGTACTTTACTTTGGGCTTTGGGTTTTTGATTCGTCAGCAAGGACTTGTCTGTGGCGCAATGGGATGCTGAAAGAGGAATAGCTGAAGTGGTAGTGAAGAAAGGAAAGGCTTGGATTGTGACTGGATTTACGAGAGGTAGCCGGCACGCGATTTTTATTGAGGAGGCAGTGTAAGTTGAATTCCCAGATTTTTGAGCTTTCACGTGTGTTGACATAAACTCTAAACCCTACATTTTAGCCCCGGCGTGGTTGGGAGTTGATCGTTCATGGTTGGCAGTTTCGTGTACAATGTCGTGGTTATATTCTAGGGAGGATTCGAGTTCTAATGACACGTTCGATCGAGGAGATTATTCTGTGATAGTATATGTTTCTATTTGAGGGTTCATTCAGTTTAAGGTTTGCAGATTTATGGTTGAACAAGGAAGCCTCCTGTTGCGAGAAGGAGAAAGGGTGGTAGATCTCCTTGAAGCTTATAGCCTGGTATCAACACCTTCGTACGGGTGCTCCTGGAACAACTACCAAGTTTATTCTTATCTGAAAAAACTAGGGTACATCGTGGGACGTCACAATGTACCATGGACTGTGTCGAAAAAGCGACCTCCAATGCCGGCAGATGAAGTGGAGAGTATAACCAGCCAATTTGCTGCTGTGAAAACGTCAGAAGGTACACAGGAGACCAACACTGCGTGTTCGCAGTTGGTTGATTCTAAAAGTGCACCCGGTTTTGAGGTTAACACAGAGCTGCAAGGTAGTGAAAGCAGTTCAGAAATGAAGCTGATGTACGATGTACATCTTCCAAACGCGCGTTTCAAGAAATCAAATCCTGGTCTTCCTGCTTTCAGCTTGTGCACTACAAGGTCTGGTAAACCCTTTCTTTTAACTTTCTTGGTATCTTGCCACACTTCTGACCATTATGTTGTAAATTTTTAGTGGCTGAATGCGGTTCTGTTGTCTATGTGCGTGCAGTAGTCGTCCTCCACACCGATTACAAGTACGAGCATTGGCCCTCTCTCTTGAGGGAAGACCACTAAAGTTTGCGTCAGTTGTTTCTGACCATGTCTCAATCTACTCTTTTGATACTATTGAGCTTCCTAACCTGCCATAATAAATATATTTCTCATTCATCCCATGCGTAGCACATAATCGTCCAACTCCCAAACGAAAAAACATTGCACTGTACGGCAATGCAAGTATCAAAAACACCCCCAAAATAAGTCAAGTGTAAAAACAGGGTGGCATAAATAATCTCACTAAAATAAAGGACGATATATTAAATCAATGCGACGAAAATGAAAAAATATTCAGCTTTTTTCAAAAAGTGCTAACAATGAGTAGAACTAATATCGTACTGTGTATCAAGAACTGCATACTAAAACCATCAACACTAACCAACACTGCTATTCTTTGTACTGAAGAATACAAGAGCTATCTACATACAAACTGATGGAGTTTACAATCACCAGTCCCTTGAGGGAGGAGAAGCAATAGGCGACTCTGCTTTTACGATCTCTGCCTTATAGCTAAAATGGTGATCCAGGTCTTCATCGTAGTAGAGAGACTCCCCGTTGATCGCATGTTCTTGTTTTAGCATAGTCTTGGGACCAGCTAAGCTCAACCAGACAGGTAAGAAGACGAGCCCGTGTAGAGCGCCTAATATCACGAGCCCAAAATACATTCGGAAGTAGTATACCTGAGTAGTAAGAGTTGAATGTCAATGTCAACCACCAATAGACCCACGATTACATCCTTAAAGAGGAGTATATACTGATCATTATTATGCATCCTGATGCAGGAATATCTGCCAAGTTACAGCGAAAAATAAAGAGGGCTGTGGATGATGACTGACCTCAAAAATCTCAGACTGCGAAAAATACAGCACCAAGACTCCTGCAAATTTGGTGAGGGTGATACCACTGCAAAAATTGAAACGTCCGTAGTTAGACACGAACTTGTAAATTATTCATGAATATTTGTCAAATAAGCGCCGTACCTTCTACACTTCGTACCTGAAGACTGAAGCTCCCATGATGACAAGAGCCTTGCTTGCTCTGTCTTGCTTGTATCCCGTAGTCATCTGCATAAAATGTAGTTGTTCACTTAATTATATGAACTCACCATAACATCCTTGAGAAGCCCCCCACATAGTATTGAGTTGGACTAACAAGAAGTCCCATTGGAACCTATCATTGCTACTAGCCTATGGCTTTCACGGATCACATGTGAGCCTTAAACGGGTTCTTACTCTCGACATCAGAGATGCTTCTCAAAGCGGGTACTGTCATCTGCAGAACTTGACATTTGGTTATTGATAATCAAAAGGAAACTCGCTTACAACAGCTTTATTGAGATTGAGAAATTGCTTACGGTGAATGCATGAGTGATATGAACACAGAATTCAACTGCGATGCCGATGGACATGACCAAGTTCACTACCGAGACTGCGTTGAGTTGAATGTTCCACAAGACCATGAGGCCCTGCACATAACCCGATACAGACGGCACATACGAATCTAAGAAAAACAATGATAACCGAGCTTCATCGTATCTAACTTCAAATCATGTCAATTAGTGGAAGCTTTAAGTCTACTCTTTCAAGAGATAAGTTCGACAAAACGGTCTTCAGAAATATATGCAGCACCCCCATAATGAAGACAATAAAAGTAATTTTAACAGGCACAAACTCACCATCAAATCAATAACGATCATTGCAATAACAAATATGATAGTAAAAGCCGTTGAAATACTGCAACACAAACTCACGTATTGTTAGGGATACTAAAACTATGTACGCCTGAGGCTGAGTTCCCCATCAAGTTTTTAAGAAGTATTATGTTGCTTGCCATTAATCGAGAAAGTTTGTGCACAGTTAAACGAAAGAAGAGAAAATAACAAACCTTGTGGTAGTTAGAAGGCAGACGAAGAAAACAGCCGCTGCAAAACAAAGAGAAAAAAACAGCAGCATGTCAATTTCTCAACACGACCTTCGAGGAAAATGAAAAGGACCTCACAAGAAGACATTCGTACATCCAATTGGGTATGACTCCAGGCAAGTAGACTGCAAGAAATTTGTAACTAAAGCACTACATTCCTACCTGGTGCGGTTAACACTGTAAAGATTACTTGAAAGGGAGTTATAAATGCAAGTGTAAAGAGACTCCTCATAGAAAAGAAACATCATCTTACCCAAGGCCGAGGAGAGGCTGACCACGGTAGTGTTCATTATGTCCAGATATTGCTCAAAGAATATATAAAATACTGAATAAGGAAACACTTCAATCTGCAATATCAGCCACATACTTGTCAGAAAACAAGAATATTTACATTCGGATATCAGTACCCGAACAAAAACTCAAGTCCCGACGTGCGCATACACATAGAATACGTGAAACAAAAACAAAAAATTTAAGCTGCTTTTCGATCACGCACATTTAAAGATTTGGAAACTTTGTTGGTAAAGTCCTTCGCTGCTTTCAGTGCATCAATAAAGTCGCTCTGCAACACATCCAACAAGGATTAAATTCAATGGTATTGACAGTGCTTCGGCTGCAGATTAGTGCATTTTCTTTTTACGTTATCCTTTCAGGTACACTGCAATTGTGGACTTATTCTAACCAACATCTGGCCTCTAGACAAACTAAGCTCATTACTACAGACAAAAGTGGAAAGGATAACAATATTCAGATGAAACTATTTGTCCAATGCAAAGAGCCGGTACAAGGGTAAGAGAAAACTGAATCTCATACCTGCTTGTTCAAAGGCGTGTGGTATGAACGAAATTCTGACGCTCTGATTACACCACTTTCGTACCCTGAAGCAAGGCCACGTGAAAGAAGCTACATTACATTTCACGTCCTGAGAGTACTCGGAAGGGCTGTTGGTTAGACAAAGTTGAACATAAAAACTCATTGATTTCCTGATTATTTTTCCACATAATCAGGAAATCAATGAGTACCCAAGCGCAGAGAGTCACGGTGCTTAAATATGAATAGCTTAACCAGTTTTCACATCACAGCTTCTTACATCGGCATCATTAATCATAAAATCAACATATTGGTGATAAAAAAGCTATTATGATACCCGTAAGGTTAAGACTGGTTGTGTATGCTCCATGGCCACCCTTGGCACAGTCCGCGGATGGAAGAGCGGCCAGAAACCATGGTAATTTGGCCTGAAACTGTTCAGTTGATGGTCTTCCTTCCAGAAGATCTGATTGCAAAAAACACTGCACAAACATCTAAATATTAGGAATACCCAATCTCAAGGGTACACAGACAGAGGTGTGAATTGGAGGAAGCAGAAATGTCATATGCTGAATACCAACAATGCATCCCTGCAAAATGGGGTGAAAAACAACCGAGTAATACAAAAGTATCAATAGAAATGAGTTCTTAGTCGTGAACACCCAGGAAACTCTGAACTAGAAACTAGATGGTTCTATGCATGCTTTTAAAAACCCTAAGTTTGGGTTACCAATGACAAGAAACAAGTTGGTTCAGATACCGTTGTGCATTCACTGCATGTATCTCCGAATCCACACTCTTCGCCTTCAGGACAGCACGGCGGCTACACACATTACGCCGAATTTGATATTAGAATGATGATTACCAAAGGAATTTCTATCCACTCACCAATTCGTGTAAGGGGTACCTGAAACGTACAACCTGAATCTAATTTCTAACTAGACGACGAAGACGAAACACATTGAATGACAAATAATTCCCTTCTGGGTGCATGTCCTACTTGAACCATAAAATTTCCAGTGATCTAACAAATGTTACACGAATGCCAGATAATTCTCAGACAAGACTCTAACTCATATGATGCATTGCAAGAGAGTCTACCTGATCGTCTGGTGGGCAATAATTCCCTTCTGGGAACTTACGGCAGCACCCGAAAGCGTTTGGTGACAACCATACAAGGAAATCATCCAACCATGACGCAGCTGGTCGAGAAATGTAACTAGTTTCAGGTGACAAAGCTGCTCTTGTGACCTGGAAAAAGTGAAAACTTCATCTGCTCAGTAAAAGTCCGGCAGTAGCAGACGGTTTTGACTTTGAATATAAACCATGTAACTATGGGCCAACACCTTTGCATTTGAATTTCTACATCAATATTGACAGGATTACCTCATTGAGCAAGGAGTCCGGATCACACTGGCTGATGGAGCATAACTTATTTGTTTGGTTGCTCTCAATGCTGCAAAAACTAGACGGGTGAGAAGTGCTCGCACGCATTGCAATAGTACACTCAGTAAATCTCAACGTTCCGTGACAGACTTGGAATATAGCATGTCTCCGAAATTGAAGTTGACATAGTGCATCGGGCATCGACATTAAGATCGGCTTAAAAATCCAGCGTAAAGTAAATCGATGAAAGTGAATTTCAAGAACCTGTAGTTGTAGTTCTTCACAACAAAGTACACCGGTGGCCCAACCCGAAGATGCTCTGTTATATTATCAAAATAGCCCTGCGAGACAGTTGGGGCGCTTCAGTCATGACTACAATTCGAAATGTTAAGATAATTCACGGTGATAAACTATCCCCAGCAATTGCTTGTACTTCATTGTATGTAGACGATTTCAAGCAACATATCATGCGAGAAGATAATTGAAAACGTGTAGTAAACATGAACAAACCTGAAGGTATGAATCACGTGGCAAAACAATCTTCTGATCCAATCCAACAGAAATATTTGGTATAAGTGCCTGCAACCGACAACACAAACAGCATCAGATCGCGCAAAGAACCTTTCCATAACATATCCAAAGCTGTTCACAATATGCCTTCTTACAGAGGGATGTAAGATGGCAGGAGCTTACAATACTCGCGAACAGGAGGCCAAAGAAAATTGCCACCACACACGCTTTTACAGCTGGAATCCTCAAGAATGGAGCGTGATAATTCTGCAAGTTACATGTTACACAAGCCCTTTAATACAGTTAAATCCAAAAACCAGTCACTTTCAGGGAGAACACCATCAATCGAGACATGTATACTCGTGCTTACATTACTACCACAATAGTTCTATGCTTGTCCTCGCTATAATATCAAGACACTAACTTCAAAAGTACAGACGTTACACGAATCACTGTTTTCTGAACAATGTACCTTCATGTAGCGGAGAAGAATACCAGGCTCGCGTTGTTGCCTTGTTGATGACCCTGAAACAAAACACAATTCCACTTAGAAGTTGCTTCTTCGACTAGACATGTATTCTTACTCATATGAACTAGAGTAAAACACTTGTAAGTGCTAATTAGATGCTCCATTGCCAAAGAATCTTACCATACGAGGTGTCATCAATTTCTTCTGTTCCACCAGACATACAAGGAATGCAATCTACACGACCACTTTCACTCCTGCGGAAGTCAAGGGTGAGGAGAGCCACGAATGCGGTGATTTGAAGCAGATAATCCAGTAACACCGCTACCGCTGCAATTCATGTTCAGATTGCCGTCAGTGAAGTTTCTGAAAATGATGTTTACAAAGAAACACAGAAATTTGTAGAACCAACTTCAAATCATGCAAAACCACACTGCTGCCAACTTGGAAAACAAGTAGACTTTAAAATACTCTTTTCTTGACACAATGCTGCATTTGCTGCATTAAGCAACAAAAAGCTCTCAAGATAGAAAACTTTGAAAATATGCAATGACCCGAAATTTTGATTTGATAGTTTGAAACACTTTGAATACCAGCAAAGAGGGAGAAGACTCTGCAAGCAGGCATAGGTGTAAAGGACCCCACAGCGAAAGCCAGAACCTCAGCTAAGCTTGCAAGTGTGATGGAAGGTCCCACTTCAGCTAAGGCAAGCCCTACACGAGATTCCAGCTGTAAGCTCAGATCTTGACGTTTCAAAGCATTTACCAAAATGCACATATTGTCTACACCAACCTGCCAATAAAAGAGAGAATGTGAATTACGATTTAGTTTCATGCAGTTTGAGTTGATAGTGAAAGGACGAATACTCTCAAAACAGGTGAGAACTTTATGTTTCTTTCAACTATAGCACAGCTCTCCTTAGTTCAAACCCGAGCATAGAAAAATAGCATTCACTCGCACAAGTACGTATTAACAATCCACGAAGGGAAATAAATGGTCACGTACCGCAAGAACAAGAAACGGAATAACCTCCACGATGATAAGTGTCGATTTCACTCCAAAGAAGCTACAAAAACCCATGGATCCAAGCACGGAGAGAGCCACGATGATCACTCCTGACAAGCCTAGTAGTACCTGCGACGACACTCAACAAATACGACTGTGGGAAGGTGTTCATTCTAACTTAATAGAACTCCTCTAGTTGTATCCACCTGAACTTCTATTGCCTTAGTACTGCCAAATTGTTTAACTCAAATCTTGACAAAGCTTACGCATGACCTTTTAACAAAAGTTTACTTCACAAGAACTTGATAACAACAGCATAGGTTTATGTGACCTGCAGGATCTAAAGAAAAGTGCCTCTCTAACATCGAATATTGAAGAGGTAACTATTCCCACGACCTAATTTCCCAAGTTGGGTTTCAGGTTTAAGAGGCAATCTCACTACAACGGCAGAAATGTTGGGGCTTGAAAAATGTACCTTAGAAGTCACATAAAATGGAGAAACAGAGGGAGTATAGTCTCCCAATGTGACCGAAATGTATACGAACATTACAAGGTAGCTTACCTGCCAATCCACTCAAAATGAACATTCAAATTTTCAGAAGTAAAAATAATTTAATTCAACTTAAAAGAGAATTGCAGGGAATAAATTTGCGAAAAGTATGTCCTGCAAATGTAAAGCCCTATGATTTACAAGATCCAATAGAAAATGACAATACTTCAGAAATATTGCATGTTCATCAAGTACAAAAAACAACCCAGCTTCATGCAGTTAGACCTCACTTGGAGTGAAACTGCAAGAACCAACTTACCGCGATTGTCAAGACATCTGCAGTACTTTCTCTCTGCAACTCTGCCTCTATCGAACTTTCAGACGAAAAGGAAACTGTCAAATTGTAAGGCATGACCATTCCCACAAGCTCTTCCTGCACAACCAGACAATTTCTTAAGTCCTTTTACTGCTTTAATAGCGCAAAGATACAAGACCAGCAGCAGTAATTCCGTCTGCTCCATTATGCTGCTCGGTCTCATATTGCTCACAGCATTTATGCTAGTGAGCCAAAAGACAAAACTAACTAGGTTTCTTCAGTCAACAGTACAGAAAATTCAAGCAAAGAGGAAATCAAATGCCGTTCTAAACAATCAGCTTCAACTTCAGCTTCAATAAAGAAAAATTCAAATCACCAAAAACGAGAAAGCATATATATAAATAAGATACAAGGAAATTCATCTTCAACAAAATCAATGAAATACCTTAACAAGGCGAATAAATTCTTTTTCCCAAGCAATAGCAGCCGCATTCCCTTCGTCTGAAATTGCATTTACGACTGGGTAGGTCACCACCAAAGCTGTGGCCTGTTCCAAGCGCAAATAAATTACACAAACAAATGTGAAGTAGTGAAATGATATCTAAAACTAATCGAGCATCACATCATCATTATGTGGACTTGAAACGAACTATGCATCATTGATTTTATTAAAGTCGGCAGAATAGATTTGAATTCAACCCCTACCATTATAAGTGGAGGCATGAGCAATTAAAATACAATTATTTTTTAAAAACATGTCACTGACCTGAGTATAATTGTTGCCTGAAAATCCACCCAAAATAGTGGTGGGATCCACTGGTCCACCGAAAGCGCTGAGACAAGCCTCTGATGAGGAATAATGCTGTCACAAAAAGTGCGTTTGAATGACAGTAATCAGACATAATTGTTTCACAATTAGACATACACTAAGTTAAATGATGCGAACCGCAAATCGTGATTTTGCAATTTCTGATAAATATAATTGAAGAATGTATTGATATCAAATTAGTCCATGCACCCTACATCGCTAAAGCAGGAGTTCAAAGGTGAAGAAGAAATTGAAAAACTGTGTCTTTTAGCTACCTCAAAACAGAACTCTGCATGATCTGCACCCTCATAATCTAGAAATAAATCAGCATCCATTTTGAAGTACTGCACAAGGAAACCAAAGTGAGTCCGTTTTTAAATAGTGAAAAATAATAGTAGAAAACAGCTGTTCAACAAGAAAAGAAAAAGATTCAAACCTGCAGGACACTTTGAGTTGCACACGGTGTTCCTAAAGGCTTCAGACAGATATCCTGAAGAGAAATCAATTTGCCAGAATAGTTCCCTCGCAGGCTATCAACCTGCACACAGGGACATAAAATAGAGTCTCAAAACGATTCTTACGGAGCTTCGCTTCCAAAATGAATATTCACGCAGCACATTAGCAACTACGTCTCCACCATAATTGACACCTACAGCACCTGCACACGTTCAAACGATCAAGCAAGAAATTCTGATACAGTTGACAGGCTACACAAGGAAATCTTAGAATTTTATAACCAATAAAATAGACACTGTATATCACGTTTTATAGATGCAAAAGACTGTAAGTTTATATCTATATGTAGAAATTATGGTGTTAACTTGCTATTGCAATTATAGTAAAAGAAATTCCAAAATATTGTTCAAATTTGACGCCCTCTTCATCTTAAAGTAATGCTGACTTTCGCTTACTTAACAAAAAACAATTACGGTACAGGACAAAGTAAGTAACTGCCCAAATAATACCTTCGCTTGGATGTCAAAGAGGAGCTGCAAATTTTCATCAGTCACAACACTCGGTGCGGAAGAACCCTTATTTGCTGGAATAGTTGCTAGAATGATCTGTACAGAAGAATTGTTACAAGAATCAGCAGCTCTTCTTAAATAATTCAATTCAAAATATGTTTATTATAATTCCGTATTTGAGTAGTAATCGTATCTTCAAAACACTATAATTCAATGCAATCAATCAAAAGCCCCCAACCAGCTTCTTCATGCAGTATGTTTGATTAAATACCCACTTCATCTACTCGTAAAAATGATTACAGAATATGGATATCGTAAAGATATCAGCTTCTGCACGCTGTTACTTTAAAACCCAAACGTACATTGCATTGAAACATATATCTAGAGGGCCAACCATACCTGCTCAATTCGGTAGAAGGGCGCTAGGTGACTGTCGAAAAACTCTTTTTCTTCTGCAGCTTTACTTCCAGGACTCACCCAAAGCTGGAAACCACAATCCCAAAGTCTTAGTAATAAGTTCATAATCTTCTTCACAACCAACATGTAAACATTTTATGGTGAAATCAACATATATTTAATAAGGTGAAATTGATAAATTACCTTCTCTGGGCGTGTCTCGACGTTGAGGCGGATTAAGCCCAGACAAAGGACTACAGTAATTAAAATAGACACTGCCAAAACTTTCTTCACATTGTAGGCCACCCACTCCCCATGTATTCTGCACTTATCCACACACTTTGCTACATAATTAAAATAAAGAGGATTTTCAAGACAGTTGCAAGAAATCTCCACAATAAATCAGTGCTAGAGAGAAGTCGGAGATGCATCAGAGGTTCTGATACAGCTGCAAAGGCAAGAAGCACCTGAATCTATCGGAGAGGAAGGCTTCCATAAATGGGGTTCCAGCTGGGTCTTTGGGTCGATCAATAACTTGATTTTCCTGTAAACATGTTGAAGACTAAGTTGGAGACGAGAGTCGTACATGAAAGTTATAAGAGGACCATCTGAAAATAAACTTGGTCGGACATCAAGATAAAAACAAAAGGCAAGAAAAGCAGTAGATATGCACCTGAGCTGGAAGAATTTCAGAATCTGTGTCAGGTCGCTCTAATTCACTATCTTCACGATTTTGTAAAAGGGGCTCTTCAGAACTCAACTGCTCCTCTGGCGCATAGTATGTCCACCACCAGCCAAATATGACGAACAGAAGGCATACATACAAAGCGATCATGGCCGCAGTCAAACACCTAATCTGTATGGGTAACAATCCAGGATTAATCGGCAACAATGCCACACTGAAAAGCAAAGGTTAAAATTTGAAAGCGAGCGGAAAGAGCAAGTACATCCTGTGGAACAATGACGTACAACAGAGTGATATGTCCTATCAATCCTACACATTTTCACAGGTAACCTTTTAAGTAAACAAAAATTACCATCACAACGAATCAAAGTCGCATGGTCAAGCGTAGATATAACACAAGAAGCGAAACCCTCAAAAAGTACCTCAAGTCCAACAATTCGTACAAAACATCCTCTATTTTGAGGGGGAGCAGGAGGATTTGGCTCAGCACAGGTGCTTGCTGCAGGACAGTCTCCACAGGAACACGCTAGGGAGGGATCGAAGCAGGCGGAAACAGAAGAATTAATAGGCACCACAGAAGTGCCCTCCTTAACATCCGTGCGAAAATTGATAGCAAATGGGGAGCCCGGTTCGTAGGGACCAGCCTCATGACCCATAAATGTGAACCATTCTGAATGCGCCAACACATGTCATTCAGCTATCGGACCACACAAACTAGTTATAAAGGACACATAAACTAAGCATTTTTCAACTACATTGAAAGAGTTGAAATGTACCCGTGTAGTTTCTAGCACCTCCTCCAATGAAGTCCATGGCACGAGTGTTCATGGCAGCAAATTTAACATCCTTACAGGAATCATAAATCCGCTGTCCATATTCTTCAGTCACGAACAAGTCAACAGCCGCAACTGTTCTGTTGGATCCTTGCTGTAACAAGAGAATCCAAGCACAATAGTAAAATTAGTTCTACTTCTACATCAATGTGGTCTAGAATGTCGTATCAATGACCTATATTTACTAGATGTCTATCACTACTACAAATGATACTGGCATGCACTGCATTGAATTTGAGTATTAGGACAAGGAACTGGACTCACTTCGTTGACAGCAGTAACATTGATGAAGAGACCTTGGTCGGGGGAGCAAGCAAGCTCACAGAAAAGATTGAGAAAATTCCGCAAACACGCAGGACATCCAGTAAGAAAGGGGACAGCCTGCAAAAAGCAATAGGACTCAGCATGTTTATCTAAACAGCTTAAAATTAAAAGTTTATCTATGAATACATTCATTATAAACGCATACAACATACCAAAGATGTAGCTGCATACCTGAATGCAGAAGGATGACTTATATATTGCCTATGATATATGAAAGAACTTAACACATTGTATACGAGACAACAGCACACCTAGTAAACAACAGAACCCGTGTCTCCAAGTTAAAATCAAGAAGGAAAGAAAGAAAGAAAAAAAAAAAAAAAAAAAAAAAAAAAAAAAAAAAACCTGCTGAACTTGAGCCCGTAATAGGCCAAATTGGGTTGGAGTGCAACAGACGTCACCAGTGATCGTAGGACAAAGGCTCTGAATCTTCAATGAGAATGCTTCATCTGGCTGAAATAAACACAATATCGAAAACTAGCTTGAAAATAAAAGTATCTTACAGAGAACACTAATATCGAAAATCGATTCTCTGCACTGGCAACAATAGGCATTCACGCATACAAGGCGCAAGAAATGTAACACTACACCTATACTGTACGTTATTCTGCAGCAGTTGAATAGTAATTTAATAAGGTGAATAAGGGGTCTTACAGTGACAACCGGGGTCGGGTCTGGACAATTGAGTTCTTTTCCATCGGATCGACTTCCACAAAGATCATACATCGCACACATTTTCCCCCCATGCTTCGATTCTCTGTAGATATGCCGGTTGTACAACATTGAGTGAGTGATCCGATCTTCTCTAATAATTATCAACAACAGACGGTAGGATAATATAAGAAAGCATGAGAATTACACATCATTAGAATCACTTACAATTGTGGATAATATTCAGTGGATATTTTTAGTTCAAATCCACCCGCCAAAATCGCAGCCTGTAACCCAGCCATTCCATAACAACCGTTATAAAACATATCACATTAACAACACAACTGGCACCAAAGCTCCGTTTGATATCCTTCCCAAGGCACATAAATCGATGTTGAATGACAATACACTTCCTCAATGCCGCCTCAACTGTTCGTGGGATGAATACAAACTTTTCTAAATAGGAGTGGTTCGCATACTAACTTAAACTTTTCATGCACCAGCCATTAGGCTATGCTTTCGACTGAAGTATGTTAGTCATAAAAAAAATGCAAAGTGAGGGAATTGGTATGTTGTCGAAATTTTGAGAAGAAGAAATATTGTGCTCTACGACAAAAATAGTATGAGAAAATAATCAGAAACAAGATTATGTTTCCTGGGGTCGGGCTCATATGACAAACGATGTCTGCAGTATTTGATAATGAAAAGTTCACTGAGAGAGACAAAAAGAATTTCTTTGAGGATTCCGTAATCCACTATACATCAGTCGAAAATCATTGTTCCCCGATTTACATGGACAACCATAAGTTGTAACCGTTCATTAAACCAGCTCTTCGTCGAGACAAGAACCCCAAAGGTGACTCAGGTTCTCCTCAATCATCTCCCTAGCTAGTGTTATCAGCAATATTAGAAATACCTCCGGAGGGGGTTCGATTAATTCTTAGGGTTTTTTGTCTAAATAGATGCTAATCTTCACAACTCGCAAATCGTTAGGAATAAAACGGATGGAATGTATTAAAAAAATGTAAGGAGTAGGAAAGTAAATCCCAGGAAAAGGCAAGGAAAACTTTGGCTAGTTCGTTGTAAGTTAAAATACTCTTTGCCGAATGCGACATTGTCCAAATTCAAAATTAAGAATATTCTCTCGATCCGACTACATCGTATGGAAATTATTCCAGCACTCTTGACAACACACAACTAAAAATAAAAAAGTATTATGACATCCATGGACTAGTTTTAGTTAACTTTATTTTGTTATTGTTGACATACTAATCCAGCTCACTTCAGATTAAACAAGTAAAGTACAATCAAACAAGACTGAACCAGGGTGAACGCTTACTGAATCTTGCAACAGGCAGTTAAATTCTGCATCTCAAAGAAGCTGGTCAAGTGTAAACATTTGGAACTATTGATCCAATTTACCGCAGTAGCGATGGAGCAACCGAAAGCTACCAAAGTTATTATTTCAAGTATAAAAAATAAAAAATAAAACTCTCCACCACCTTCTTCCAGAATTTCCTTGCACAGCCCTTTAAAGTTACCGATATAATTACTGATATGGGGCTCCATGAATCACGGCGATTCAAAAAAGAAGTAATAATCGTGAACTCATCATAAGCGTACCTGAACGAAGAGAATAAGACCACATGCAGACCAGGCGATTCTACCCATGGCTGCACCGTCACTGATCCTCAGCGGCACTGCGCAAACCTCCAAAGCTCTATAGCGTTGTGACAAGATAACTGAAACCCTAAAAGCTAGCCCTCAATCTCTTCCTCCCGCTAGCCTTCTTGCCTGCCCTGTCCATAGCCAATCCTTAATTCCACATGCCGAATCCGCGCACCTACTCCACCTCGATCTCATGAGCGCCTTCACTAAGGCCGTCGCTCTTCAAAACAGGAAAGTCAACCAAATTAACAAATAACCAAATGAATAATCAGAATTCTAAAAAATTCACAACTAACCTTCCATCAACACAGAAGCAAAACCACAATCCAGAGTATGAATTATCCTACTCACATAAACCCTTCATGCTCGATGAGCATCACCACTAACAATACCAACCACAAATGCAAAATATAAACCCCGAATCATGAACGGAAGCACAAAAATCTCAAACTCGACGGAGAGAAGGAAATCCACACAGCCCTGCATCGTACCGGAATGATCGACTTGTCACAGAACGTTGGCAACGAACTCGACAAGAGAAGCAGGAACAGGCGTGACGCAGTAGAAGAACAGACCTGCAGGGAAGGGCCGTATCATTCATTCCGATAATATAATAATAAAACATCGAGAGAGAGCAGAGAGCAGAGCAGAGCACGTCGATGTTTCTTTCCTTCCGCGATGTCGAGCCAGACAGCCGAACGGGAATGCGGTGGAGGACGGGACGGATTGTCCCCCCCTCCCCCATGACGCGGCGTTGCCTGCCATCTTCCACCGCGGCCTTGAGAGGAGAGATGAGATTATGATGTGCTACAAAAAAAAAAAAAAAAAATGAATTGTTGCAGTGGTTTAGTTGACAAAAATTAACAAAAGTCGTTTTTGCATTTGACCCCTGAACCAATGCATAGACTTGAGCAAAATCGTCTACTTTAATCACACTAAACCACATCCTTAGTGCTAGGGCAATTTAGGTGAGGTTTGCAGGTTGGTTCAGGGGCCTGACTGGATTTAAGATATTTTGACATTACCCTATTTTGACATTTTGACATCAAGCAATGCTCATCAACAAAATACCTATATTGATGAGGATTCCTAGACATTGTATCATAACTAAAGGTGTATGTGTATGTGCGAAAATAGGATTCTAACACCTTATATTCGTCAACTTTGGAAATGACAAGTGGATACAAGGATACTTAAATGGCATAACTATCGATTTTTTTAAATATTTGGAGCGTTTATAGGTTTAATAGCCTGGTGGCTGGTGGATGTATGCATCGTTGTCTGTGTGCAGTCCAAGAGAATTCCAACATAAATGAGGCATTGACTACCTTTCGTAAGTTGCTTAGAACTGGACAACGCATCATTGTTGTTCTCAAAACTTATTACTAACATCAAAAGCATAAGCCCGTTTTCAATAACTAACTCATTTGCACAAATCCACACAGTGTACATAGAGCATATATATATATACATATATATATGCACAAATATATATTGAAAAAGAATATGAGAGAGAAAGCACATCCTTCAACTATGTTTGTGAAAGCCTAATATTTTTAGAAATAATATAACTACATTTACACCATTTTTATTACTAAAATATCTCAAACTCCTAGATTTAAAGATTTTAATATTGGATTATAAATTTTATTATATTTATTAGTGTATGTGTGTTTATGTTATACCAAAATTTATGGCTTTTCTAACTACGTAGTATTATGCCTTCTTTTATTAATTATTTGGTAGAATTATTAGTGATAATTTTACATTTGATTCTTTTGAATATCAAATAATAGTAGCTTAAGTCACCATATTTGTTTTGCATTAGCCAAATTTCCCTATTACTTGATACTTTCAACTTGATCTTTATATATATTATACATTTTAAAGTTTCTATGGATTTTAATAATATGTATACATATTATGTACTTTAAGCTCCAAATTTGGATAAAATTGTCTATTAAGGTAGCCAATCCATCATTGGCTATCTCTCTATTTTCAACGTATAAGATGTTCTATTTCTGTTAGTTTGGACACTAGGTCTAACATCCACATTGATTGGAAATAGGTCAGGGGTTGATTAAAATGATATTAAGCTACAAGCAATAAATAAAATTTATTGCACTTGAAATGGATATGAGTGAATTATCAATAGGTGGCATTTATTGATTGGTTGGGATGGAATAATAATATAATTAGATATCAAACTTCTTAGTTTTGTAAAAATTGGATTCTCAGTTTTGTAATCCACCACTAATCAAAATTAGGATAGCCTATGATTTGAATTAGATTGGCTTACTTGTTGAAAACAGGTTGAAGAAAATATTCAGCTAAAATATTCAATTAAAATCCATTTTTGGGTAAAATTGTGTGAAAATACTTCAAATCCCACTCATTTCTATTTCCCTACATGTGGGTATTTATTATTTTATTTTTACACTTAGTGCAAATATGCTATAATATTTAAGTTATTAGAAATAGGTTATCTACCTTACACATCAAACTAAGACAACCACTCATTTTCATTGCTACTTGGCCAATATATTGGTAAATTATATTTGTTAATTCATATTAATAATTCATACAAATTACCTCACATGATGTCCATTAGCAATAAGTCCTCAACCACGGTGTCACTCCACGTCAGCATGAACTCTCATCTTCAATTTGTCCAACATGGCAGATGAACGAATGTAGGTCCTCAAATTGACTCATCAAATCGCTTCGCTCAGAAAGAAAAAGTAAAATTCCACCTAAAATATGAAAGGCAAACAGAAGAAGAAGAAAAAAAAGAAGAAGCTCATTCGCGGGAAGGAGATATTTCTGATGACGACTTAGCATGCTGGCGTGGCGAGGCAGAGGAATTCACTCCACGAATATGCGGGTGCTCGCACCAGCAGAAAGGAGGTGTGAACTGACGTGGCCAGAGAATGGCGGTTTCGGTATCCACGTCATCGTGTGTCCGTTGAACGTTCACCGAGAAGATGGCTCAACGATCATTTCCCGCCACGGCAGTTCACGCACTTGCTTTCAATAGAGCCGCTCCTGCGCTCACCGGACTTGCCTTCCTTACCCCAACCTCTTCCATCTCTTGCCCATTGTTTACTCGCTCTAAAAATCTGTCGATCCATTGTTTACCGTGTTAGAATTTCTGAGTGGAAGGTCATATTAGTAATCCGGCCTGCCTGTCACTTCGGTCTTTGCTCATGAAGGTGAATGGACCGATGACGGTTGGTTGATCGTGGTGATGTGGCTTTGAGAAGCTAAGGTTTTGCGTATATGCTCAGATTTGAGTGTCTTGGTTGTGTGTTCCGGAGAGTTTAGGACTGAGATTGTTTTTCTTGGATTTCTGTCGGCTACACGGGAGTGGTATTCTTGATTTTAGCTCGGAGAGATGGAGAACCAGGTGCCTTCGGAGAACCAGATTGGTGTCAGTGGGGCGCCTGCGGTTGGTAACCTCAAGCGTAGTTGTGTAACCTCTGCGCTGAGCCCCAAGGACCGGCACCAGGCGGTGGCGAAATCGTTCGAAGCACCCACCCCTTTCCCGCCCATTCGAAAGGGGCGCGGTTCGAAGAAAGCAAATTCAAAGCCCAGAATGGCTCCAAGTCCAGTTAGTGTTCCTCCCAAGTCCAGCCCTTTGAGTACCACAGAGAGGTGCGGGCGTGCGCCATGTTTTTAATTCCCTACTCCCTGTTTTCACAATTAGAACTCGCTGTCTCGACCCTGTGCACGTTCTCCGCGTGTGCATTCACCAGGTGCCTGATTGATTCGTTTATGTCGATCGCCTCGTTCACAGCTACTAACCAAAGCCTACTTTGGCAGTATTCACATTGTCATTCCGTTCTTTTGTTGCACCGCTGGTCCAGGCGTCCATGGGTCTCAGTATTTAGTAGTTCTTGTTGAGGATGCATCACTGGAAAGTCTGCTGAATCCCTGAATGGCTTCGCTGAACCCGGTTTAAATGCAGAGGTGTTTCTGTGCTCTAATGCCAGCAGTGCTCAGGCCATACTGGAGTGTGTGCTCTTGTGGCAGCTTAAAGTATGTCTATACATAATATTTTAACAATGTTTGCTTGGGAATTTGTGCAGGTATATGAGTCCAACCGATTCCCTTGTATCCCCGGTCACTAAAGGTGTGCTAGCTCGGAATCGAAGACCTATGCGTTTACTGAACCCCTGGGGTCCACCCAAGGTATAACTTCATTCTTGCACACTACGCCCAAAATCAGTGTTGCATTTTGCCACAGGGCACCCAAAGGACGAGAAGTCGATGGTCATTGAACATATTGGATGATCAAAAGAACTCAGTATGTTGTGTCTATTACAGGAGATGTTGTACAATGAGCTGTGTACATATTATGAGCCTTACTTTCTACCAAGTTGCCTTCGTCCCCCCCCCCCCCCCAATAAGAGAATAATAATCATAATATTCAAAATGAAAATAGATGAACGATAGTAAAGTAATTATTCACTCTAGGGAAAGGATGAGTTACTAATAAATACAGAATGACAATTGAAAATCTAACATTTGTGGCTGATTGACTACAGGCCCTTGAGAACACCTTCCAAGGAACGGTTCAAACATTGAAACCAACCCTTCAGCAGCGTTGAATTTTGGCGTCCGAGTGTTTCTTAACAACGCCAAACCAGGTTGGTTGAAGGACTTTCAATTAGGTTCGACAGACTTGTCGACCGGAGCCCAGCCCGTTGCCAAAGCCTCCGTGATGTGAATAGAAGTATTCTGATGTTAACTTTTCAAGTGTAGAACTTTCAACGAAGGCTTTAGCATCCCTTCATAAGCTATCAATATTCAATTAGGGTAATCTGAATATATTACCTGTGAGACTGAATCTTTTCCTTGGCCCTTTTCAATCAGTAGCGAGCAAGTCGGGAAGTCGATCGTCCACGTAGAAGTTGCTGATCATTGTGCTCTGTGTAACGTCTGAGTACATGTAAATTTTTGAGTTAACCATTCATCGCATATTTAACTTCTGTTGTAAGAATGTTGATGTAGCAAAGATACTTGATTTATAACCTTTTTATCACCCATATTTCTGGAAACCTTTGGAACATTACATGATCACGTGTGCAACGGACGAGTCTAGTTTGTTGTGAGAAGCACCCGCAAGGCCCTTCTACGATATGGAATTCGTCACTTCTTCAACGACCATCTCACATCTTAACTTTTCGCATGTTTACATGGACTGTGTAGTGTGACGGATGCTTGCCTCTGGACTCAATGAAGTGGTGCATGTGTTCATCAAACCATCTAACAGTAAACTACAGCTTATCATCCACTTCTAAGATTTATCTTGTACAACCAACGACAAGTTAATGACCTTGTTGGTTGTCAGCTTTGTCCAAATGAACAAGGAAAAGCGAAGCTGAGATGTGCTAATGCTCAATTACATAATCTGTTTTGTAGCACTCAATTTCCCTCATCTGTTTCATCACTCTATACGTTTGTTTAGTTGTAAAATTCCAAAGTGATGTTATACGTAACACACGAAGATTAATTGAGCCTTCTAGACAATTTCAACAAAGACATCGATCTTTTACTGTTTAATCAACGTACATTCTCCAAACATATGAGTAAATTTTTCTTATTTACAATTCTAAATAAGATCAAATTTACATGTTTTAAAAATAGATTATTTATTAAAACAAGTTTAATATGTATTATCCTATTTGACATATTTATATAAGTCTGATATATTAAAAAAATAAATATTTATTAGTAAAAATAATATAAGACCATTAAAACCACAAAATAGTCATTTAAAACATATTACAAGTAATTTTCTATTAAAAAATATGTATGACTTTTGAAAATTTAATAATTAATTATATTATTAATATATAATATAATATAATATAATATATATTTTAATACTCAAGTATATATACAATAATAAACTTAATTTATATTATTAAATAATTTAATAAATACATAGGATTTAACTTGATTCTTTGTATATATTGTATATGTATATATATTTTTTTATTAATAAAAGAAGTTGCTTGAAAGATTTAAATTTTTTATATTTTTATATTTTGAAAAAAATATTTTTAAAGATTAAGATTTGATAAATATGTTTTCTTTTTGGCATTAAATTAAGACATTCAATAATGTTCTTTAGTTCTTATATTTTGAGCTAATTGATTGCTTTAGAAACTTTGAGAAACTTTTTTATACCTTTCAAATTTATATTATTTTTGTTCTAAGGTAGTGGCATATCATTGCTAAGAATTGTATCACTATTTTTGCTAAAATTAGATATTTATACTTAGTAGTTTGTAGTTTTATCATGTATTAAAGACAATAGTTCAAGGAAGATATATAAACAATTGATATAAGTATCAATGACAGATGACAAAATGATAATAAAAAATATATATATTGAAGAAGAAACTAGAATGGCTATAGTTCAAGATTAAAAAACTAGAGACTCTTGAAACTGAACTAGAAGCAAGAAAGAAATTGGCAAGAGTTAACTTGTATCACAAGCTACCAATACATGGCTAATTTGTTGGCCAAATGTTCAACCTATCAATCACCTATAGATATGTATAAAAGTGAAATTACATCTATAAAGCTTATACAAAGCTTATGTATAAGATATTATCAAATTAATATATTTTTTTTATCTATTTCTATTTATTCATATTATCTAAATAATTATTAGAGTCAACATGTATGTTTGATATTATTCTTCCTTCTAAGAATGAATTCTACAAGGATCTGCAATTAGATGATTAAAAAGTCCAAGATGTAATGAATTGTATTTACTATAGATTTTTATCTTTCTTACCTTTGAAGGTAGTTCATAGGTCCTTCTAGCTATTAATAATGATCTATTCTAGGAAGAAAAGACCACCCTCATATTCAATCATTGTTAATGCCTTTATAACTTCCTTCAAATAAAACATTTATACAACCATCAGAAGTTGTTTTTACCTCCAATAAAATCACTAAACATCATAAATCTCTTCCAAGATCATGATACTAAATGTGTTATATCTTCCTATCTATTTGAAGAAGAACCTAAGGTTCTTGAAGGTCTTTATCTCTATTATGTCATCTTGAAGGTTGTGGCAATTACAATGTCTCATATAATAAGTTAACAAATGATCATTCTTGAATTGAATTTGTTGGATATTGGTTCTCCATCTTGTTAGTCCCACTAATATAAAGAAATTGTAATAAAAGATAGAAAATGGAATGTAATCTTTATTGAAGATCTTTTTTTTAATAACAAAAAATTACTTGACTCTTTATCTTGATTTTTGTGGATGTTGATGAAAAGCTTTGATTTTTTTCATTGCATTTGTATGATTCTTGAATAATTTCTATGTAAGTTCATTAGAATCATATCTATACCAATAAATAAGATATTCCCACCTATTTTGACACCGCCTTGAATCTAAGACTTGTTCTACTTCAAACTCTTGATTATTATCTACTTTTATAGAATGAGGTGGCATTTGTTTTTTTCTTAGAATATTCATTGTATTATATGACTCAAAAAGAGACATATGAAATATCAGATTAATCTTTATAAATTCCAATAGATTTAATTGATATGCAATTGGATTAATTTGTTTACAAATAAGATGATTAAAGTCTAGAATAATCCAACTTGTCACAAAGGCATTTAGTTTTGATATTATAATAAAGTAATCATATTTTGTTACTAACATGGAATTGAGGTTATTTCTTATAATAGTCATTTACATTGGTCTTTTATTTTTCTTGAGCTTCCTTTAATTGTACCTTCATTCTTATATATAATTCTAATAAACAATTTTTCAAATCTTCTATATACGATTATTGATTTTTAAAATATCAAAAATATTAAATTATAGATGATAACCATAATCATATTTGTTGAATAAAAGAATATATTGTGATATTATAAGAAAACTTTGCCAATGGCAAAAGAGTTGTTTAATAATTTTGATAGTAGTTGATGGTACATTACAAGTACTGCTTTAATACTTAATTCACCTATTTGGTTTATCTATCAATTTAAAGATGAAAAGTCAAGAATATTTTTATATTCACCTTCAATATTTTAAAAAAATATCTTTAAAATCTTGATAAAAATTATATTTTTTTATAAAATATAATATCCTTTGATAATCTATGATAACAATAACTATTATTAACAAATAATTTAGCTATTTTTTCACCAATGATAGATTTTATTCATGATACAAAATATGCTATCTTAGTAAAAAGGTCTATTATCACAAATATATAATCATATGTACTTGAAGTCGGAAGATCTATGATAAAATCTATATAATTAGAGGACCATGATTATTTTAGTATAAGTAGTGATTATAAAAGTCTATAAGGTGGATGACAAGGAGTTTTTTTTAACTTGAATAAATATCATATGATTGTACAAAGTATTTGATTGCCTTCCATATTTGAAGACACCAAAAGCATCTTGAGATTAATTCTAAGGTTTTGTTGTATTCAAAATGTTATATTGTTAAAAAGTTGTGGCAAGCTTAAAAAGCTTGTAATTATATTTTATCTTTTGGATCATATAAGCACCTTTTAAAATAAAATAGATTTTTCTTGAATTCAAATTTAGATGTATTAAGAGATTTTGAAGAATTATTCTTAATATCACAAATAAGAGGATTAGAAGACATGTTTAATTGAACTTACTTTAAAAAAGTAGAATCAATAATTAATATTTATTTCATTATTCAAAGATGAAATTGCCTTAGATTCAAGAAAAATATCTATTATTGATTAAAAGATACATCTTTTTTTTTGATATATGATGAAATTATTTAGAAAAGATATATAACAAATCTTTTTTTTGGCCAATAAGTAATCTTGAATTCAAATCTTGACAAAAACATGCTCCAATGGATTTGGCAAGAATTCAAAATATGTATTGACTTAAAATACTTAAAGTTCTTGTGATTCATATATACTGTGACTAGACTAAAAGTGCTTTTTAGATAATGGTGTCATTCTTAAAATGAATCTTTAATTACAAGAAATTCTTTACTATGGATCTTATACTTAATCTCAATTATTGAAAATCTACTTTAATGAAAAGCTACTAAGTAAAATTTATCATTTGCTTCTATTTCTGATAATACAATATCCAAAGCAAAGTCCAATGCATCTATTTCCACAAAGAATGGCCTTGAGAAGTTGACACAATATAATATTGGTTCAAAAACAAAGACCATCTTCAAAGCTTCAAATGCTACTTCTACTTCTTGATTCTACTTAAGTTTGTCTTTATAAGTCAAATCTGTAAGTAGAGCTACAACTTACAAAAATTTCTTGATAAATATTTAATAGTAATTGGCTAATTCAAAAAATATTTTATATATTTTTTATTATTTTTGGAATCTTCCAATCCATAATGGTTTGAATTATTTTTAGAATCAATTATAAATCCATCATTTGAATTGATGAATTTTAAAAGGTCAACATAAGTAGTATAAAATATACATTTTTTTTTTTTTTTTTTTTTTTTTTTTTTAATCTTAGCATAAAGTTTTACATTTCTTAGTTTTTGGAACACATAATGAATATAAAACTTATATATTTTTTTATTTTTAAAATAGATTAAGATGTCACCTAAATAACAAATAACAAAATTTTCTAAATTTTTTTAAAAGACATCATTCATTAGATGTTGAAAAACTATTGATATATTTATGAATCTAAAAGGGATGACATTATATTCAAAATATCCATACTTGATTTGAAATGAAATCTTATATCCATCTCCTTCTTTGATTTTACTAGATTGTTTGTTCTTTGTAGATTTATTTTTGTATAGAGCTTAATTTGATTTAATTAATCAAAAAGTCCAAATATCAAAAATAGAAGGCAACTATTCTTGATGGTGATCTTATTGACTCCTTGATAATTGATACACATTTGTAATGATCAATCTTTTTTCTTTTGAACAAGATTAGAGTTCTTGTTGGAGATTTGAAATGATGTATGAATTTTTTGACCAATTTTCTTCAATATACTCTTTGAATTCAATCAATTCAT